CACTGTAGGCACTGTAACACCTTCATGTCATTTAAGTGGTTATAGTGTCTGGAGTCCCCTGGTGCCGTTTCTTCAGAAACGGTTTAGCCATTAAGGGAAGCTGGTTCCATGTAGTTATTCTTATTTAGTTGTTATGGTACTGGCAGTGTTCCTTTAAACCCTTAAGGACACAACTTCTGGAATAAAAGGGAATCATGACGGAATATTTCCATCATGTGTCCTTAAGGGGTTAAATTTATTTAACACTATCCCAGACCCTACACCAAAAAGGCTATCCAACCTTTGATATCCTCATAATCTAAACATTACACAAGCTGTGTATGTGACATATCAAGAACATTACACAAGCTATGTTTTTGACATATCTATTTATTGGGGACATTTAAAACAAGCCCTGTTAAAGGTGAAATGTTAAACATAAACCCCAATTAAGTTACAATTACAGTTATTCTCCAGAATTTAGCATTACTAGTAAAAGCTAAAATGTACCCTCCATATGTTAACACATTTGGTATTGTATTATTAGTAAATTTATAATAAGGATAAGAAATTAACAAGAGAATAAGTGAAATATATGTGGAGAAAGAACTACTAAAATTAACTTTTTCTATACTTAATAAATATGCGGGGAAGCTCAATGTTGACTTCTACATTGGATTTGAGTGTATGAATTGTATACACTAATTTTAAGATGTTTTATTCCACAATTCAGGGCAAAACTGAGACTATGCAGGAGAGATGATGAAAGAACATCATTGTAGTTGTAGATCTGCAAAACCAGGATCTCCTTTTAACCCATTCTCTATGGCACTTTTTTATTAAACAAATATTGGCATAACATGTATTTGAATCAAGGGATGCGTACATTTCATAACACATCAGTTTTGTGTATAGATTGCTTTGCAGACAAACTTAAAAATTTAAATTACACAATTAAAATATTTGGTAAAGGAGAAGCTCAGTACTATATACTGTGACCTTTGTCTTGCAATATGTCACACAGGGTCTAAAATGTTAGTGTAAAAGCAACCGTGCAAACTTTTCTCACATGGAATAGATGTGACTAAGATAGCTAAATACAAATTGTCAAATACCTTGCTTATGGGTATTTGCTAGAACCCCGAAGGCATTACAAGCAGTACAGATAACTGAAAATGGCAACAATATGTAAAAATAATGTCTGCATTTGAACATAATGTTCACATACAGTACATACAGTTAAATTGTATATTCCTAAACTAAAGGTATTTAAAAGTGCTAAAGCAAACTTTATCAGACTCTAGAATGCTAATGTAATCTTTATGCTTTAACTGTAGAGTCCATTTACTCCTCCCTCTACCTGACCTTAGGAATAATAAGATCCATTGAAACTTCCTGTACTTTTTGGAAGCGGGAGGTAAGCTTACATTTTCAGCAAATTTACAGCATATCAGTGACTAGTGGCTTCTGGCAGAGGAATGTGTTCCTTTACAAACTGGTTATCTTAACTAGAGTATAAATGACTATGAGTGCGGCTGTATGAACTGAATTTCATTCTGCAAAATACATGAAAATAAAAATGTTTATACTCAATTTGTATATTGAAGCAATTAAGGCATCCCTGGTTAAAAACACAACATGTGATGCCTAGGTAGACTATTATTTATTGACCTAATAGATATATAATAATGCTTTCATCAGCACCCCTTAGCGAACAGCTTTGCAACCTAGTAATGGAACAGTATAGGGTCAGGAACCCAAACATGTATTCGTGACCCTATAGTGTTAAATCCACCATTTAGGTGGCTTGCCCCCCCCCTCAGCCCCCTTAAAAGGAATTAAAACTCACCTTTTTTCTAGCGCCGTGCTGGCCCCGCCCCGATCCGCCTCCTTGATGACATCATCAGATTTTCCGATTTTTAGCCAATCCAAGAAAGCATTGGATTGTCTAAAATCGGCAAGGAGGTGGGATGGGGCAGGGCCAAATGCCACTTTGGCCAATCAGCACTTCTTCATAGAGATGCATTGAATCAATGTATCTCTGAGGAAAATTCAGCGTCTCCATGCAGAGCGTGGAGACTCTGGCAGTGCTGCCTACTGTGCAGCACTACCCCAGGAAGCCTCTCCAGTGGTCATCTGATGAGTGGCCACTTGGAGGAGTCCCTAGTGGCAATGTAAACACTACCTTTTCCCTGAAAAGGCAGTGATTGCATGAAAATGCCTGAAGGCAATGGTTATGCTCACCAGAACAACTAAACTAAGCTGCAGTTGTTCTGGTGACTATAGTGGCCCTTAAAGTCCAGATTATTTACCACCTGTTTCCCTTGCTCACTGATCCTATCATCAACACTGTTTCTGTTTCTTCTTTTACCCTAGGATTGTTCTGCCCAGTAACTGAAGAGGACAATTCAACAATTCTTCAGTCCCCTTCCCCACCTTCCCACCCTGCACACCTTACTTGTTCTCTTTTTCTCTTTTCTTTCACTCTTGTTTTGTATTTAACTAACACCTTTCATTTGTCCGGTACCTTCCTATGGAGACCAAGGTTATATTGCCTAAAAAGTAATCATCTGAAAATAATTCTCTCTTGGTGGTATATGTTTATTTGAATTCCAGAGACAAGATTCTATTCATGATATCCAGATACTGTGCTCTTTTCTTTTCCCCTTCCCTTATTGATCATGTGATAAACTGCAAACTAGTTGTATTAATGTTTTATAAAATATAGTCTTTCCAGATCAGGGCCTTTTCTCTTACCTATTTCAAGCACTAACCCTCTCCCTGTCAGTCAGCATTCTTTTATTTCTCATATCTAAATCCTAAATCATGTTCCTCTTATTATGCAATTTGCCAGTTCTAACAAGATGTAACCAAAGCTTCTGTTCATCAACTTTTTGTTTCCCCTACAAAGCTTTACACATTAATACCCCAAATAACATGGCATCTCCATTTCAGTGGAGTACAAACTGAGGTAGGGGCCTTCCCAGGTGACAGGTGATAGTAGTTTCATAGGACACCCCTTTTTGCATTGTCATTGTAGAGTGGCCGCACGGGAATGCAAAAGAGTTCTTAATGTTCCACTGCCTGGGCTGCTTCAGGCTCCGAGCAGAAGTGTAAGGATATGACTGAATATCATTCCTACCCTCTGTACCATTACCTAGCATGCTGCTAGCTTGGGAACCTGAAGGTGAACTAACAGACCGGGCAGAGGAACAAGCAGAAACTCTGCTGTTGTCTCGTTTGCCAATGCTACATCTGGGACAAAGGGAGGGTAAAGGGAGGCACACAAGGGGGAATCGAGAAAGACGCAAAATGGGGTGAGGGGGTAAGAAGAAGACTGGTCTAATTGTCAGTAAATACAAACCCTAGCTACTCCTCTCCTATTTAGAAATAATTTATCAAAATCAATCCCTCTGTTCTCTTTGTCAATGACCTCAGTGTGTCGTTTCTTCGCACATCCAAATCTTATTTATAGAACTACTTTAGGTCTGCCTCCTAACAGCAATCCACTCTTGCTGTCCCTCTGTCCACTTTAACATAATAATACCAAAGTATTTAACCAGAAACGGTACATTCAGATTACTCTGGTTTTCAACATCATCTTCAATTTCTTACTCCACAACGACAGTTGGTATAAACATTTCCATTTGCACTGGTGGGTAGAAATTCACCCATGGTGTATGTGCTATGGACCCTTCAGGTTTTCTATCCTTTATGCGTCTCTTGTCTACCTAAAAGTGTGTAGGTTCCCTTTTGTGCTGCCAAAACAGCTCTGATGTGTCGAGGAATGGACACCAACACATTAGCAGCAGATCCTTTAAGTCTTGAAAGATGTGAGGCAGGGTCTCCATGGATCAGATTTGTTGTTCCAACACATCCCACAAATGCTCCCACGGCAACATCTGTCATGTTCTTCAAACTATTCGTGAAAAAACTTTGCAGTGTGGAATGGTACATTATCCTGCTTAAAGAGGCAACTGCCATCAAGGAACACCGGTGCCATGAATACGTGGTCTGCAACAATCTCTAGGTAGGTGATGCATGTCAAAGTAACATCCACATGAAGTTCTAATGTAAAATCCCCATTAAAGGTACTTTCGTTGGTGGACAGGGTTTAACATGTGCAATCTGACCATTCTGACTGCAAACTGCGATGCACTGTGTGTTCTGACACCTTTCAATCATGGTCAGCATTAAGTTTTTCAGCAATTTGAGCTATATTAGCTCTTCTGTGTGATCGGACCAGATGGACTAGTCTTCGCTCCCCACATGCATCAATGAGTCTTGGGCACCCATGACCCTGACACCGGTTCAGTTGTCCTTTCTTGCACCACTTTTGGTAGGTACTAACCACTGAATACCGGGAACACCCCACAAGACTTGCTGTTTTGGAGATTCTCTGAACCAGTCATCTAGCCATCACTATTTGGCCCCTGTCAAAGTCACTCAGATCTTTTCTCTTGCCCATTTCTCCTGCTTTCAACACATTAAAATTAAGAACAGACTGTTCACTTGCTGCCTAATATATCCCACCTATTGACTTTGTAATGATATAATCAATGTTATTCAATTAACCTGTCAGTGGTTTTAATGTTGTGGCTGATCAGTGTATAGGTGTGAGGGCTAGTAATTGCCCCAGTCTGACAACTTTATCTCCACACAAAAATAATACAAATCTTCCATGTATCCCATTACAGCCCAGCAGTGCCATTCTCTCTCTCACTATACAGAGATACAATCCATTGCATTCTCTCATTATAGAGTGTAAGCTTTTATGGGCAGTATTAAGGACAATGGGAGAAATTACATGACATAGGTGCGCCTGCCTGTATTTCTTTGACAGAAAATAGAGAAACATTGTGCAAGCACTTTATGAATAATGAGAGCGGCTGGAGACATGAACCATAAAATGTAAAACAAGCCCAATGCTTTGAGCAAAGAGGCGAATCCACCATGAGGAGGGAGAGAGGGGGAGGAATAAAGAAAGAAAGAAAGAGAAAAAGCATTAGAAGCAGGGAGAAAGGGGACGTCACATCCCCTTGACCCTCCAATCACCTCGGGGTCCCATTTGATTGGAAGGCGGCAAAGGCTTTAATCTCAGCTCTAATTCAGAGGCTTTTGAAGTGAGTTTCACTGGCAGAACTCTGGCTGGCTGCGCTGCTGATCACACTGCGCGCTCTGTACCAGGAGTGGGCGCAGGAACGGGCTGGAACACCAGGATCTTACAGCAGTGGAACCCTCTGATCCTGACTGGATGGAACGTTCACTCCCTTAGCAGCTGTGCACAGAGTTACATTGTTACAAGTAGCCCAGGAGCCGGGCATTGAAGGCACAGCACAGATATATTGTATCTGGATTCAGGTTCCAGCGAGAGGCAGCGTTATATCTGCTGGATATTGACTGAGCTGTATCTGCTGGATTTGACTGTGATCCCCCTGTATCTGGTGGATATTGACTGTGATCCCCTGTATCTGGTGGATATTGACTGACACCCCAGCTGTGTGAACCCCTGGATATAGACTGACACCCCAGCTGTGTGATCCCCTGGCTATAGACTGACACCCCAGCTGTGTGATCCCCTGGATATTCACTGACACCCCAGCTGTGTGATCCCCTGGATATTCACTGACACCCCAGCTGTGTGATTCCCCTGTATCTGCTGGATATAGACTGACACCCCCGCTGTGTGATTCCCCCCTTATCTGTTGGATACAGACTGACGCGCAGGCTGTGGGATCTTCCTGTATCTCTTGGATATAGACTGACACGTTGTAACAGCAGAAGTCGAGGCGGCACCATCTCCAGGCAGTGCTCTGCACCGATGAGCCGGTGTCTGAAGGTCACTGTACAGCACCGATACCAGGATCGCCGATAGGATACTGGGGTATTTGTAGGATCCCACGTCGCTGGCATCTCGGGGATACTTTGTTACAGCTTGCCAACCAGCACCCCTGGGGGTCTCTCTCCCCTCGTTTCCCCCCAATGCCTGTTAGGGGGTCATGATCAGCTCGCCATTGGCTTCTGGAAGTCGTGTGAGTCCAACAGCCCGGGAGAGCGGAGACACCGGATCGTCCCCGGCTAACAGAGCCTGCTTCCTGCACCCCGTACCCCCCACTGACCCCCTGCGCCAGGCCGCCAGGCTCCCTATCAAGGTGCTCAAAATGCTGACAGCACGGAGCGGACACATCTTACACCCGGAGTACCTCCAACCTCTGCCCTCCACCCCAGTCAGCCCTATAGAGGTAAGGAGGCAATACACACTACTGCTGGCTTTATCTGAATACACACATTCATACACAGACACAATCATACACAGACACACAATATTTCGTATTCAACACAATCACACACACACTATGTATAGTAAATATACACACACAGACACACTATATGTAGTAAACATATACAATCAGACATACTATGTATAACACATACAAAGACACACAATGTATAGTGTATATATGTACATTTGTACAAACTATGTATAGCATATACATATAATCATACACAGACATTATGTATGTATGGATCTATATATATTCATACAAAGACACAATATGTACAGTATACACATTCATACACACACTGTAGTATTTATACATACGAGAGGTTGTGTTTTCTATACATACACACACTTTTATTCACACCTCACATACACACTGTACTGTTGAGTATTCTTCACACACAGCCACACACACACACACACACACACACATACACACACAAATATACTAGATACTGTTAGATATTCTATGCATATAGTAGTATTTTAATCGATACCATTATTATCACGGTGAAGCTCGATGTTTGCTTCCTCTCCTTCCTCCCCTTTCCCCTTCCTCTCCTCTGATCTCAGATGTCACAGCTTCCTTCCCTCTCCCCCCCGTAGTAATACTTCCGAACAGACTGTTTTCCTCTCTCCAACCCTCGGGCAATGGCAATGACTTATACCGGGGTTAGAGCCCTGCTGCCCAGCCACTCTCTGCACACAGCCACAGACTGCCTTCACTTCACTGGGCTGTCTGCCTGGCTTACTGGGGGACCTATAGTCTCACTACAGTGTACGTTATACACAATAATAATGGCGGTATTTATTAAAGATTTATATTAATACATTGCAGCGCACTCTCTTACAGTCAGGAGATTTAGTGTAGCTTATTTACTATAATATAGCATTATATCTGTATAGGTATACTTATATATACACACACACACACACACTGTACCACAATCTGTCCACATACATACAGACTATATCATTTATAAAATATTTTATAAATAAATAATACAGACTATATATTGTTGTTGCTAATTAAGTAACATTCTACGGTGATATTGTATGGCAATGTTATTCTTGTAACATTCTATGCAGTATAATGTATAGTGATGTTATTTATGTAACATTCTATGCAGTATAATGTATAGTGATGTTATTTATGTAACATTCTATGCAGTAATAATGTATAGTGATGTTATTTATGTAACATTCTATGCAGTAATTATATATTGTGAGTGATGTTGTACATTGTATATTACCTGTTTTTGGACATTCTTCACTTACATGCAGGGATTTAAGAGCACTTTGTTTTATGCCAAGGGCTGAGATTAGAGCCCAGCAGATTAAGGCAAAGGGAATATCACCGTGTGAATATTATATATGAAATTCTAGCAGAAGGGTCAATGGGTAACTTGGATGAATTTAGTACAAAACCAAACTTTCACCAAATCACTGGCTATCAAGAAATCAGTTTATATCATTAAATTGGCAAATTATCAATAGTTTAGGTATTAACTTGTTTCTAGAGTTGTAAAACTTACTTGTAATTAAAAAAAAAGTAATTCTTAAAACAAGAAGAATATCTAGGTAAAATAAATATGTAATAAATAACACAGACACGACAAAATGCTAGTTATATAAATATTAGGAATTCTAAAATTTATATTGTGTATAAATATATTAAAACAGACATATAGAAAAAAAACAGACACGCAGATATAGTGTAAAATTAAATGTATTGATGTCAAGTAATATTGAGCGAGGCTGTGTATTGAGGCCTCATTTAAAAGAAACGTGAGCCCATTTATAATGGGTAACAGTTTTTGAGGAGGGCATACTGAGGGCCAACATCACCCCCTGGTGACCCCTTTGATGTTCCCTATTTACATCTCTACATATGTTGCAATCCAATAGCGTTTAAAGTTTAAGAAATCATTGTGCTACCTTAAAGTATAAACCGATCTAAGCCAATAAAAATGAGTAAAAAATTTAAATTTGTCATCCGGAATAACAGTTTTTAAACTAATTACTTTCCATAAACATATAGGCATCTGGATAATACATTTACCAAGCCAACCATCTGGATAATATATCGAGCTCAATTCGGAAATGTTTTTTAAGGGCAAGATTTGGGATTAATTCACAACAAATCCTATTCTTCATATTTCCTTAACTAGCGAAATCCACCAGGTGAATAGGGGCGAACGGGGATATATACACAACTCTAAAACCAGCTCTGTCTAAAGCAATTCATTATTTGTTCAAATAGCCTTTCTAAAGTCACATTCATCATCACTATGTTATTATTATCATTACATGTTATTATATCATTACATCTAGAATATAGAAGGTAATATGTGTGTGTCTGTGTGTGTGTGTATATATGTATATACATATACTATTTTATTTATATACACACACACATAAATGCAGTATATACATAGTGCTGGCTGAGGGTTGTTAGACGATGGTTATGGGATATTAATGCAGTATATACACTGTGCTGGCTGAGGGTTCTTAGATGATAATGATTGGGTATTAATGCAGTATATACATAGTGCTGGCTGAGGGTTCTTAGATGATAATGATTGGGTATTAATGCAGTATATACACTGTGCTGGCTGAGGGTTGTTAGATGATGAGTTTGGGCTAATAATGTGTGTATAGTGCCCCCCCTCCCCCCCCAGGCCTGTACTAACCCTGTCTCTCTCTCTCTCTCTCTCTCCCCCAGCTGGATGCCAAGAAGAGCCCCCTCGCCCTGTTGGCCCAGACCTGCTCTCAGATCGGCAAGCCGGACCCAGCCCCCTCCAAGCTGTCCTCAGTGACCGGCTCATCCTCCGGGGGGGACAAAGACTCCAAGTCCGCCCCCCTCAAACTCAGCGACATCGGGGCGGAGGACAAGTCCAGCTTCAAGCCTTACTCCAAGCCTCCGGACAAGAAGGAGCAGTCTTCCGGGGACAAGTCCGGGTTCCGGGTGCCCAGTGCCGCCTGCCCTCCTTTCACCCCCAGGACCGGCAGCCCCGGCTCCCCGCGGACACCCCCTCCCCGCGCGGACTCCAAGCCCAGCGCGGAGAGCGCGGACAAGAAGGACGCGGAGCAGTGCAGCGCCAAGGGCTCCTCGTCCCCGCACGGCCGGCTCAGCGCGGACCTGCCCCAGGCTCACTCCGAGGGCTCCTGCAAGAGCCTGTCCGCCGCACCGTCCCCCACCCCGGTGTCCTCCTCCGGCTCCTCGGGCTCCGTGCTGGCCTCCGGCCTGGTGGCCCCCGTGTCCCCCTACAAGCCCGGCCACACCGTGTTCCCCCTGCCCCCTGCCGGCATGTCCTACCCGGGCTCCCTGTCCTACGCCGGATACCACCCCCAGTTCCTGGCTCACGGGGTGTCCCTGGACCCGTCCAAGGGGGGCCAGCTGGGGAGCCTGGGCTGCTCCAGCAAGTCTGCCTCCAGCCCGCTGACCGGGGCCTCCCCGCCCTCCGTGATGACCGCCAGCCTGTGCCGGGACCCCTACTGCCTGAGCTACCACTGCGCCTCCCAGCTGGGGGCCAGCGCCTCCTGCGGCCACGACCTCAAATCCGGATACCCACTGATGTACCCCAGCCATGCCCTGCACGGGGTCTCCCCGCCCTCCCTGCCCGGCCACCCCCTCTACCCCTACGGCTTCATGCTGCCCAACGACCCCCTGCCCCATGTCTGCAACTGGGTGTCCGCCACCGGCCCCTGTGACAAGCGCTTCTCCTCCTCAGAGGAACTGCTGGGCCACCTGCGGACACACACCGCCTTCCCAGGGGCCACGGACAAACTGCTGCCAGGGTACCCCAGCTCCTCCTCACTGGCAGCCGCTGCCATGGCCTGCCACATGCACATGCCACCCACAGGACACTCATCCAGCCCTCTCACCCTGCGCAGCCCACACCACCACCCCCTGGGACTCAGTACCAGCCGGTACCACCCCTACTCCAAAAGCCCTCTGCCCTCAGGAGGGGCCCCAATGCCAATGCCAGCAGCCACAGGACACTACTATTCACCCTATGCCCTGTATGGGCAAAGACTAACCACAGCATCAGCTCTAGGATACCAATGACTACCAGTAGGGGGCTATGGAATGTGGAGATAAATGACTTCAATCTTTTTATTTTTCTTCTTTTTTTTTTGGTTTTTTTTTCTAAGGAAAAAAAAAATGAGATCAATGTGTGTTCATTTGAGGACTGGATCCGTGGACACTCTTATTTATTTATGTTAGCTCCAAGCAGGACGTCTAAAATAAACTAAAAATGAAAGTGCATTTCTGGATAGGTAAAAAATCTCATGTAGAATTCTAAAACAACAGGGACACCATAACTTGAATCCTCCTAGTGTTACTTAAAAAACAATGACTGCTTATTGTATTGTACCTTATTTAACGTCTCATTTGGGATCAAGTTCCCCCCCCAAAAAAACATCATTACATTACAATGCATGTTTGTTACTAAAAAAAAAAAACAGCCGGCAGTTTGTCCTAATTTAAAATTGCAATTATTTTTAAGGTGTTAAAAAAATAAATAAAGATAAACAAATAAAAAACAGAGAACAGGTTATTTTTTGTATGTATTCTGGAAAAATGATTTTATTGCGAAAAAAAAAGTCCCTAATTTGCCTTATTTTTGTTCGGGGATAAATGCTTTTTTTTTTCTTAATTTCTGTCACATGAAAATGTTTGCAAGTTCCATCAGTGATTTTTGCATCCTGTATCAAACTCACAGTGTACCTGCTATAAAGATTAAAATACATTATATTTGATTTAATATGTTTTAAATTTATTTCAAACTGGGTTTAAATTTCCTTCCGATTTCTGTAAAAGCCGAATTAAACGCAACCCATTTTTGTATTACTGAAAAAAAAAAAAAATAGGTTAAAAAAAAACCTGTATATTTCCACTTAAATATAAAGTATATGAATGAAATTTTCGATGACTATTTGTATTTTTTTTTACATGATTTTTATTACAAACGTGACTTTCCTTTAATCACTAAATAGAAGCTTAAAATATTTTCATGATACCGTTAGAAATTGAATTTAATGAAGAAAACCGTGTCTGTCCAAACGATTTAATCTATTCTTATTTTTAAGTGATTTTAAGAACAAGAGTAAAATATGTATAAAAAGCAATATCCAAAATTACATTTTTATAGTAAAATAAAAACGTAGTATAATATAAAACTAATAATATTTAGGAAAATATGTTTTTTGTTTTTTTTAAAATAACCAGATCAAATAAAGTAGAACAGTTAAAAACAAAATGTTAATTAATATATGGGTTAAAAAAATGTGCAGCTGTGTTGTTTAGTGTCACAAAATAGCTAATAGGACATTTAAAAATCCAACCATGTTTTAATGTATAGAATCAGGGCAGTAATATTTAGGAAGCTAAAGGATTAAAGAACACTAATTAAGTCGGTCTATTCTATATACAGACTGACATATTGTGCCGCAGCTTTTGTTACAGAGGTGTAAAAATGCCAGACTTGTCCCATAGGCCCCCCAGTTTCATTTTGCTGCGTTGGGATTACAACATGCATTGCTTTTGCAGTATACCGTGAGAATGTGCTAAAATGGTAATACACGTTGTAATGGTTTAACAAGGAAAAAAGCCAAGGCAGGTTCAGGCAAAACTAACACCAATGTTTAAATTCACTGTAATGTTTGTGTGTGTGTGTGTGTGTGTGTGTGTGAATCCTGTGTCTGCTAATTTTCTCCATGCAGTTCACTTCAAGAAGTCAAAATAAGTAAAAATCCATAAATGTTCATAGTGTGAATGCATTGTTGGTTTGTGTGTATTTATTATTTTATATATTGTTTGTTTTGATTTTCCTTTTTCAATGACTATTTTAAGCTTACATATTTTGTGTGGATCTATTGCTTTAAACACTCTAATTAATACTCACACTGGAGCGCTATTTATGGAGATACACTCATTTCTAGAATTTTTTTATCCAGAGAAATTGAAAATACACCTTTCGTCTCTTCAACAAAAAGATTAGAAAAGTCAAACATTTAGAGGTCCATTAGCTAAATGGCAGGTCATGTTCAAATGAAAATCACTTGCAAAATTACTGACTTGGGGAAACTTATTTAATGCTGCTAGATATTACATTTTATTCCACCTTAATGACTTTTTATTGTAAATCTGTTCTGAAAATATACCCCAGTTTAATGAGTCAACGATTTACTATATATTTTATACGTTTGGTTTCTGAAAAAAAAAGCCATAGGGTAAGACTTCGTTATAAGTGTATAATTAAACACACACAACAGTTGACGTTTATTAATAATAACTAGATATGTTTGTATGCTTTAACGTACTCTCCTGTGTGCATTTTAAATTTGAGTTCTTATATAGATTTTTTAAAATAGATTTTTTTTAAACATTTTCAACTTTTCTTGTATTTTAAGAGGGTCTTGTGATTTTATGATTACTAAGTCTTTGAAAGGCATTCTCCCATCCTACCTTGCACCAGCTGTAGAAGTCCCAAAACCTATAGGGTACCACAAAAACTGCTTTAAATCTCACTCCTATGTATCTGATGTGGGTCCCAGACACCTCAATTTTCTTAAACTCTCGGTAAATGTCACCTAAACTTAATTCATAAATGGGGAAAAAGGCTACCATAACCACTTTTTTTTAAGGAATATAAATAATAATAATAATTGTATATAGAATATAATATATAAATAAGATTTAAATATACATACACTAAGACTAAGGGATATATTCTTTTTCGTGTAGTGAGTGTCTCCATGCGATGATTTTGTAGAATTATAAATAATTACCTTCTATTTTAGAATGAATATGTATATCACAATATATGTTAATAATATATATTATTATTATTATTATCAACATGTCTGTTGTGAATGAGGCTTGTTAGCACTGCCTGATTTTACCATGTGATGATACTGTGTGATCAGTGCATGATCTTTGCACGGGATGTACTCAGATCCTATGTGGTGTGACTCTCAGCGTGGGATTTAACTCGCTATTCTCTAATATTTGCGTTTTGATGTTAATCCAGAATTGCTGGTTGCGTTATTCTGCAGGGTTTGGAAGCAGATCTAAATAAACAATAAACATGGAGACATAGCACTCTGGGAGCTGTGTCTGAACAGAGCTACTTAGCTGATGGAATTTGGAAGTTCACAGGATTCCACTAATCGATTCTAGGAAGCCTCACCGTAAACAGAACCAGGGTTATAGAAGATTAGAACCCCTATCCCATGGACACAAAATCTACTCTTACCTGTGATAATAGAAAGATAAATCGATCTGCAAGTACAGGTGTGTTTGAATATCTTACATCCATACATATCTAAATAAATAAAAAGAAATATATTTTGACACACATCAATGAAATATCAACACCACATACACGAATTACATACAATGATAATACTATAAAAAATATATAATGTAAATAAATATAAGCTGCAATACACCAAATGTTTTATTGATCTGTTTAAAATTGACAATAAAAGCTGCTTGTCAATAAGGAGATTATACAGGATAACATTTCTGAAACTGTACTTGATGTACATAAATGATTAGACAGATAAACCGACAGACAGACAGCAAGTTGTGACGGACCGATTTGCCCAATGTAAACCAGCCGACTTTCAGACAATGTCCAACTCGACTATTCTGGCCTGCATTCTGCAATCGATTGTCAACACATCACAGCTCCCTGATTCATAAATAATGTCTTGGGTATAAATGCCTGTCCACTGATCTATGCAACATAACCGAGTGTGATATTATATATAATCATCTGCGAATATTTTGTTTGTCCCTTAAACTACATATTCTGTTCTGCAATCAATACTCAGCATTTATTTCACACTTGTTTATACAATCACACACAGATCTTTATAATCAATATGAATTATTTATTTCTCTCTCTCTTTATATATATATATATATATATATATATATTTATGTAAATAAATAAATACAAATATATATTACACATACACTATTATACATATGTATGTGTTTGTGTGTGTCTGTGTGTGTGTATACATATATATATATATAATGTATATGAACACACACTAACTAGACTTATTCTTGGATTATGCAAGTATTTAAAAATGCTGTGTTTACGATATATATGTAATAAATAAATATATATATATATATATATATATATATATATATATTACACATACACAATTATACATATGTATGTGTGTGTGTATGTATGTGTGTGTTTATATATATATATATATATATATATATATATAAAATCTATATAATGTATATGCACACACACTTACTAACTAGAGTTATTCTTAGATTATGTAAGGATTTAAATAAAATGCTGTGTTTACGTTATATATATATATATATATGTAAAAAATAAATATATATTACACATACACTACACAGATGTTTGTGTGTGTGTGTTTGTGTGTGTGTGTATATAATCTATATAATGTATATGCACACACACTTGCTAACTAGAGTTTTTCTTGGATAATGTAAGGATTTAAATAAAATGCTGTGTTTACGTTATGTATATATATGTAACGCAGCAGCCAAACCTGTTGAGCATTTAATCTGCCATTCTAGGCGAGTTAAAAGATAGAACTCACATTAAATTGTAGCGAGTGTTCGAGATACTCTTAACACGACTTATTCAGTCATTTGAAAGTACAGCAAATATTTTGCATATTTTTTTTTCTATCCACTGCAAGAAAGATAAATCAGATCCTCTTTGAATCTTTTAAACTGTCTGATGTGTGTGTTTTTTTCATCTCCGGATGATTTAAAGATAAGCTGACAATTCTGTCACAAATCTTCAGTGTCAAATAAAAACCTCGAATTAATGATAACAAAGAATTGAATGGACGCCTACAGGAACCTGCAAGATGAAAAATACTTCAAAGAGACTTAAATGGGATACAATTATATACACGTCCCTTTTTGCATTCTCATCAGATGGCTTGACTTAATTTTTTTTATTCTACCAATTGTATTTTTTTAAATTATTTATTTTATTTTTTTTAAATGCAATGATTTGTCAAGAATAAAAACGTGTTTACAATGCACTGCTGTCATGTTCCAAAAATGCATTAGATGTCAGGGAAAAGAATAGGAAGAGCTTTTTAACAATGAATCACAATGTCAGATAACCTCAGACCTCACATATATTTTTGAATAAAAAAATATAAAAGCAATTCTCTCCTGATTAACATAAAATTTATCGAGTAAGAATGCAGTAATTGTATTAATTCTGTTTATTTGCCCTTAATTTTCAGTTATTGCAGTTTTATCACATCGCCACTAGACGTCTCCACTGAGCTCTAAAATACACCATTCCAATCTTTATTTTAGTTTAATTTTACAATATACATATCCTGTTTTATTAAATCCATACAGTATAAAACAGTAAATGTGTAGTTATATAAAACAGAACATGTCCCACCAAACTTATTCTTTAAACCGAAATGTTTTCTTTTTTTTTTTTTTTTTACAATTCTCAATTTATTCTGTATATTCTCATTTTGTTTTGTGTGTTTAACCCAGGATTTTTGTTAATACTCTCGAAAGTCATTTTTACAAGTCAGAAATAAAATCTCTGATCTACAACAAGGGAAATGTCTTCAGATAAATATATTAAGGGAGATAAAACGAGACGCTGTGTATGTTTCAAGAAAGGACACCCTTATCTGGTTTGTAATTTCAAGTTCTATGAACACATATAAATTGCAAGCCAAGAAAACAATTGTCTGGATGGCGGTTCATATAAGATGATCTTATCAGAATTTCTGTGAGACAAATTCAGGCTCCTGAAATTGTAACTTTATCCACAGCTAAATCTTTTTGTTTTACAAGAAGCATCCTTTGCATCGAAAGGGACAGTGAAAAGGAGTTAGAGAGC